GGAGAATCGTTTTCGTTTTTATCCGATAATCGCGCCCTCCCTCTCCTCGGTTTAAGCACCGTTTCGGTTTCGATAAATCGACTCGAGTAATGATAAATAAACAGGATCGAATCGATTGGGATAAATGCGATTTATATCCGCGCGGATGGTTCGAGCCGGCGGTGAATGAAATCGGCGACGAGGACGCGGCACGATAAAATAACTCGGGACGAGTCGTAAAAGCAACGATCGCGGACTCGTTCCGTGGTCTAATCTCGTTTAAGGCTGCTGGCCTTTATGGTTCGTCGTATGCTCGCCCAATTACCCTCCCATGACTCCACCACGTACCTTTAACGCGATCGTCAAACTTTCGATGATTCTTCGCGTTGTAACAGTTCGTTCGCCATCTTTGATTCTTTTCTACTATTCCATATAAAATGTACGTGACGAAAAGAAGAAGAAATATATATATATACACAAATACAAGAAAGAGAGAGAGAGAGAGAGAGAGATCTTTTTATCAATTTTTCCATTCCATTAATTTGACAAGACGGGGCATCGATAGGGTGCGTTTCAAAGGAAGCCGTCTCTCGAAGGGTAGATGCCCCTCGATACACGAAGGGTCTCGAGACACGTTTTGCAAACCTGCAATCACCTAATAGCTCGCACTCCGGGTTCGGATAACGCTCACAGTCCAGTGTTCGGCGGATCGATAGAAATTCGATAGCAATACACCTGTCGATGAGGTAAATGAAAGACCTCCGTTTCGAGCCGAGATATACACGCCGACGCAACGTCTCGAAACTCGTACTACCCCCCTTCTTCCACGCGCCTCCTTCTCCTGATAAACCTCTCGGTTGAGTATAAATTAAATTGTAAAAATTTTTAAATGAAAATGGTGAAAAAATCCTTGGAGGGAGAAATCTCTTCCACGGAGATAGACGTGGCGATGGTGGTTGCAGGGGTGGTAAGAAGATAAATGAAGATTCACGGGGTTGAACGGTGTTCGGGATTCCGCGATTTCAGTTGTTCGAGCGTTGGATGCAAGCCGCGCCGCGCCGTAATTATAACATTTACCCGTTTAATTTACGGGCGAGGGAGCGCAAAGAACGTCGCGCGGAAGCACTCTCGATAAGGGCCCTTACGCGACGGTGCACTTTTGTCAGCTCACCCTCTCGCTACTTATGATGACAAATTAGCGAGATAACTAGTGGCGGCCGGATAATAAACGCCCGGGGAACACGGTAACGCACGAACGTGATAATTTCGGAATAATTGCCCGCGACTCGCCGCGAACGTCGTCGTTGATCAAACTCGAACAAGGAACAACCGAGCCTATTCGTCTTCCGGATGGACGACGAGGCGATCGTCGATTCCCCGGCTCGATTAATTCGTCGATTAATTAACTCGCCGCTTTTTTTCCACGGTCACGTAACATTCGATAATATTCGGAATGGAGAGCGTTGCGCCTCTTTCTTCGATCCCTCGAAGAGATCGATTGAAGAAATCGAATATTTTTCGAGCCGAGAAGAAAGTTAGAAATTTATTATAAGAGGAGGGCGAGAATGGTGGAGCGCACACAACATGGTTTTCACGAATCTTATTCGTTGCTTGATTCGATTGACGCGATTCGATCGAATTTCGAACCGCTTTCAAGTTAATTGAAGAACGCTTGGAAAATTAATATCTGCTTTAATATCTAAGGGATGTCTCCCTTTGTGCGAGCTATATCTCGTACACGTACCTCGCATCGTCGTGAAATTTCTTCTCTCCCGGCAGCGAGGGGAAGCGTGATAATAAGGCGAAAATAAGGGAGAGAAGGGTAGATTCTATTATTCGCGATAGAAATATTCCTCTCTTGGCTTAAAGCGGACCTCTCTCTCTCTCTCTCTCTCTCTCCTCGCGTCTCTTACGACTCTAGAATATCTAGAATTCTAGATTGTGTAGTATACTGCTCGCATCCCGATCCCGAGCTCATCTTCGATACTCGATAAGATATCCACCGATCGAAAAATCCTCACGATCGTGGGAGAAGAGACGATGTGGCGATTTTACGCGGCTCGTGCACGCGGTGAGACACGTTCGATTTTACGACGACTAGCGGAATGTAACTTGCTTCCTACGATCCGTGGACGGTAATTGAAAATTACGATGGAATACGTGGAAGAGTTCATCCCTAGGAAGTAGGGAGATTTTTCTTTCATGATTTTATAACGATAACCGATCGTACGAAACCCGTACGTGCAGGGAAAAGTGGAAAAAGTTTGCGAGCGATTAAAGCATTTTTATACCGCGCTTTTTTTTCCCCCCCTCTCCTTTTTTCCCTCCTCCACGTTTGTTGTCTATTCAGCCGACGTGTTTGCTTTTATCTTTTTTTCTTTTTTTTTTTTTTTTTTTTTTTAATGTTTATCTTTATCTTCATTTGTTTACCCCGTTTATTTACAACCGGGATGATTTTGTTTATACACGCCCATTTGATATTTATCGATACACGGATAATGAAATTCTATATAATCGGAATAGAAATCTCATCACCCATATTTTCCTCCCTTCTTTCCTGTCGTATCGTGTCGGAATCAGACATCGGAGGGAGACAACGAATGGGCGCAACTTTGGGCGACGAGTTGTTGATTAATTCGCGGGAGGTAATAAAACTCTCGAAATATCGATGGACGACGGGATATAAAATTGGATCGATCCGCGATTCCTAATAATTCCATTCCGGGGGGAAATGAGTTTCCTTTGTAAATTTATACGATCGAACGGGCGGGAGATCGATTCTTCTTTCGAGGCAACCAATGATGAATTATTCTTCGTTCGGTTATTCTTTTCTTTTTTTTACCAGTCGAAAGAGAAAAAAAGCAAAGAGAAAAGAAAGAAAGAAAGAAAGAAGCTTCGAACAAATTTTTTCTTGTTTTTCAATTTCGAACGGTTTTGCTGATAATTAATTTACGATCCTCGCAAAAGTTACTTTTAGAACCTATTATCCTATTAGTCGCGAAAGAGTTAACCGACGCATCGCAAATTTTCGGCCGGCAATCCGATTACTACCACTACTCTCTTCCACGCGTGTGTTGGCGCCAATTAATTAATTACGAATGAAAACAGTGGACATGAAAAATTCTGTAACAAAAATTTTGCCCATCCATTTTGCCGTCCCATCCCTCTCTCTCTCTCTCTCTCTCTCTCTCTCTCTCTTTCACCTTTTCGTCCTCCTCCCCTCGTCTCCTTTTTTTATCTCTTTCCCTCGACCACGCGTCGAATCCTTCTTATTGCTTGCGCGCCATATATGAAAAATCCATCTCTTCTAATTACTTAGGGATATCCATTAAAAATCGCGTAATAAAAAGGACGATAATCGTTCAAATGGCCACTTATACCCATCCCGCGGGGGAAAGCGACTAATTGCAAACTGCCATTAAACGCGGATCCTCTCGTCTCGTGTTCGAGAGCGAAAGCAAAAATATGTCGCGATTCACTTTCTTCTCGCTTGGAACACCCTTCAAAAGCGAGCTTCCTCCGCTGTTTTCGAAAGCTCAAAGGCAAACGGTTTAACAATATCGCGCGGTTACCGGGGAGGGGAGAATCGCGAGAGGCAGTAGTCGTGGTGGAAAGACGACGAGGCGCGGTTGTTTACGCGTTATTATCAAGAGAGAGAGCTTTGAAAAACAAGCAGAGAAATGCATATATATATATATATATATAGAGAGAGGGGGGGCGGGGGAGAGAAAGAGGGATGAAGGAAAGTTTTGAAACCGTAGACGTTTGACTTTCGAAAAGAGAAAGAAAAGGAAGTCTCGATTACAATATGGCCACGTCTTACGCATACGCGTGCGCATCCCGAGCGTGAGCACATGAATACATCATCTTTAAAGAGTAGCAACGGCATCAGCGAAACGAGAGAGTCTTGCCAACAGTTGAGTCATCAGAGAAGAGGGCCGGCCTGCTCTCTCGCTATAATCGTTCCTCCGTGGATAGTAAATCCGGCCGAAAGGCCGTCTGAAATTATTACGGCCCCCAGGGACGTGGCAACGGCTCGCGGTGCCACGAGACGGAATATTTACAAAACTACCGATCTACGAAAAAAATACATTATCCACTAATCCAGAACGAATCCATTAATTCTTCCATCTCTTTCCTCTCCCCTTAAAAAGAAACCCTAAAAAAGAAAGAAAGAAAGAAAGAAGGAAAGAAAGAAAGGAGGCGAATAAAAATTTTGGACCCGGTTCAAGCGAAACGATTAAAAGGGCAACCTCTTTTATTTCCCCCAGCCAGCGGGATTCCGGGCCACGACAGTAGTAATAAAAGAAATCGAGCGTAATAACGGCGATTATGTCGTTACGATCGATCGGGCGGAGGCACGCGACCAGCGCGGTGGAAATCGATGTCACACGCGGGTAATATTCTTGGCAGCGATATTTAGTAGCTGGACGAGTCGAAGGGAAGGATGGGGGAGGTGTGGCGGCCCCTGGAATGAAGAACGACGAGAAAACGAGCGGCGAAAGTTCCGCGGTCGAGGGTGGAGGGTGCATAGGTCTAAATCGGTGCCAAACACGAAACACAATTTCGTTAATCGCGAATTATAAGCCCCGAGAACGAGGGGGAGTTTGTCGTGCATACGTTATCCAGGCTTATAAACGATTCGCGAAAATTCGCGAAACTTTGCAGGTTTGTTTTCGCGACGGTGTCGTCACGGAGTTATCCTCTCGAGTTGCGCGCGTGCAACCCCCTTCGAACGTATAGTTCTCGCCTGGCTCGCGAGAACGAGTCCGTGACGATTTTTCGGATGCACGCGAAACGCGGCGTTATCTCTTTCTTTCTTTCTTTCTTTCTCGACGTTACGAGAATTCGTCGAATTTTATGTTTTATTTTTTTCCCCCTTTTGGTGAAACTTTTTTTGGTAAAACGGTACAAGAACAGGAACGAACGCCATTCGTTCTTTCGCACGAGCTTTCATACGATTCGTTTCGCAGGGGGTGGTTCTCGTTCAAAAATCAAAGTGGAAGAAAGAGCAGACTCACCGTTTGTGTTGAATCCTGAGGCCTCTGCGAGGGTGCAGCGGTATACCGTCTTTGAGCCAGTGCACCCTGGGGGGCGGAGAGCCCCTCGTTCGGCATACTAGCTTCACTCTTTCCCGTAACCTCGCTATCGAGTCCCTGAGCTCGGACAACGTAACCTCCCTCACTGAAATCAGACGTTTGCACTCGTTGAAATTTCCTCGACGGTACTCCTTCGTTACCGGCCTTCGTAACTCGTCGATCGAAACTCGTTAGCATACAAGAGAGAGTAAAAAGAAAAAGAAAAGAAGGAAAAAAAAAATACGTTGTTTAATTCGCAAGCGAATATCGGAGAAGGAGGTAGAAGTAAACGGAAAATAGGGAAGAGGGGGGAAGCAGCGGGGAAGGGAAATCTTTCAAAGATCTTCCATTGTTTAACATTCGCTCGACCATCGAGAATCGCGGTGTGAGAAAAGAAGCTGGACGTGGAACGGAATATTTGAAAGGCGATTAAGGAAAAAGTTGCGAGCGACGTGGCTCTCGGCGAGGGGTCCGTGGGAAATTTTGACGCGTAATGAATTTCGCGACGGGGTAAATCTGCGCGCGCTCCACGTTGAAAGAGAATTCTTAAAGCGGCCACTTTCCAACTTTCCATCCAACTACGTGTCTCGAAGTTCCGTCGAAACTTCCCGTCGAAAATCCTACCCGTAGTTTTAATAAACTTTTCGAGAGAGCCGTACTTCTCGCCACGGGGGAGGGGGCGAGGAGAGAAGGAGATGAGGGGAGAGAGGGCAGTACGTGTTTTAAATTGCGCCATCTCCGAAAGGATATATTCACGCGCGGCTAATAATTTTCCACCCCGATTCATATTCCCCCCCCCCCCCGCAAAAATATAAAAATATATATTTATATATATATTTATATATTCCATCGCGCCTTTTTCACGAGCTCTCCGAAAAATCGCATCGTCGAGTAATATTCCGGCCGCGTCCGAAGAAAAAGCGGAATCGTTAGAGGGGCAGGGGAAAAAAGGGAAAAAGGCGTTCTTTCTCCCGGGGATAGTGGTCGCTTTAAGGAATTGTATGGGGGAATAGTAGGGGTTCTTTTTTAAGAGACGGAGAATAGCCCGCAACTATTGATTCCGAGTCAAAGCGCTGTTGTATTTCCACAATCGGAAAGCTATTCGAGAATCGACGTTCATGATTATCGAGCAAATACACGATACCGAAAAACAACTTATATATATATATATATATATAAAACGCGTTCAATCGGGGAACGCGTCAAAGTTCGATTGTTCGTTCGTAAAACGGATCAAAACCAAGCGGGATATTCTTTCCGTTCATGCAACCACCACCACCGTTTACGAGCAATTCGTTCATTTTACCGAGCGAGAAACGGGGAGTAAACGAGCTCGCGAACGGACACTTTCAAATCCGGTGTCCATTGAATCCGCCGCTATTGGATTCGCCCAATCCGTTTAATCCGATGAATCTCGTGCCACGCACAATGTATCCTCATTACGGAGGTGTATCTCACCCCGTTCTTCCCGACTCGGGTCGGGATCAAACGGGCGAATATAATAATAAATGGCCGAGTTTCGTGGCGACGCGAAAGAAGAAGCTTTCCAATTCGAGATGAAATCCTTTTCCGCCCGACTCGTATATTATTTCCAAGGGGAAAATATTGGGTGGGAGGGGGCCGAATACGCGTTCGATGAAAACGGCGGATTCCATTATACCGCGCGGAGAATAATAATAATAATAATAATAATAATAATAATAATAATAATAATAATAATAACAATACAACGGGGGGGAGTGTCGGTTCTTTGCCTTGCGGAGCCGCGACCTGTATCGAGGATTCTCTCCAATGGCCATCTTTTCGCGTTGCCCTCTCGAGGTTCGTTGCCGAATTCCAAGGTTTTCGCCTCGCTCGGGGGATCGGTTATTCCCGATCCCGCTTTAAATTAGGTCCGAATCAAAGTCGTGGACGAAGTGGGTCGTCCGTGGATGATTCTAATTTTAGAATCCTATTGTGCGGTGTTACATAAAGAGTAAAAGTAGATCGCGCGGCTCGCTTTGCCCCCGTCCCTTTCTTACCGATCCTTTGTCGTCCCATCGTGCCAGTTTCCAGACTTTGCTCCCGTTAACTCTTCTCCCCTTCCTACGATGGACAATACGATAATTCGCGGAAACGAAATTCACGCAATTTCGAGATCGCGGAACGAACAAACAATTTTCCATCATTTTTCTTCAAATCTGGAGCCCGTCCGAATCTTGGCACGAGAATTCCTTTCAACGACAGGATTCAATTCGATCGCTTCGCGGTTTAATACGTCGTCGTGGAAATCGCGCCGAGTCTACAACACACGAATCTAATCGCGCCCGCTTTTCCTTTCGCCATTTTTCAACCACGTTTCCCGTTCCACCACGGCGCCTCGTGTTTTGACTAGCGTGCTTGCCGTAATTACACCATTCCCTCCCTCCCCCCTCGGGACCAGAAACGCGACGCTCGAATTATCCACGACGTTCCGCGTCGCGGTGAGAACGCCTCCGGGCATTTAATACGTTTCCATCAATGTCGTCGTCGTCGTTGGCGGGCGACGGTGTTACTCGAAACTCTACCGTGCCAGCTACCTATTCGCCGCGCACGATTCCTTTGGAATAGGGTCGTCGCGTACGGAATCCACCTCCTCCTCCTCCTTAGTCGCGCTACGGGCGCCGCGTATCTTTCGCGGTGTCCTCCCGTCTGGGATCAACGTTATTCCGCGTGACATGCCATTTCGGTATTAGAGAATTCACGGATCGAGATTGATTCGATACGATTTTAAAAAGGCGGGCCCCCTTTCGTTAGCCACGATTTTCAGTAGTACAGGTCAACGTTTCGCGCGCGACACGATTTTTAAAAGGGGAATGCAGAGGAGAAACGAAAGGGAATTCGTTCATCCGTGTCCATGTTTCTACCGTAGAAGTATATTCTTATATACTTCGAGGAAGTATATTAATATCGGCAGGATGGATCGTTTCACCTCGAGTGGGCGATAGGGAGTTGCAGTGAAAAAGGTCGACGTATCAATGGCTATCGCTGGCGCTGTTCACGTTTCTGGCCTGTCCACGGTTATCGACTGACCGTAAATATATATATATATATNTATATATATATATATATATATATATTGTTAAAGATAGGCGAATTTATTTCTCGTTTTTATTTCGCAGCCCTATTTCGCTCGACTCCGTTATTCCTCGCCTGCGGATCGAAGCAGGTCGCAGCCGCCAGCGCAGCTGTCGCAACATTTTTAGTGCTCCCTCGTACAATCGATCCGTTTAATAATTTCTTATCGTGTCCCAACACCAGGTAAACATCAGAGAATCGAGTTCATTAATTATGAGAGAACACATTTTCCAGTCACGGTTATGGTGTTTCGGTAAAAGTTTCGGGAAAAAGTGAAATGGAATGGTAGAAATGGACAATTAAGATTGAACTGCTTGAGACAAATGTGGTTAAGTATAATTGGATTGAAATAAACGTTTGGAACTCTTTTAGAATCTACGATATTGTTAATTAGTTTTCATTTTTAGAATCGTCGATGCATAAGTGTCCTCTAATTGGAAAATCGAAGGGTTTGCAGCAATAAGAAGACAGTTCTACCATTTATATACTATTCTTGCTGTATATTTCATCATTGTTAAAGGGTAACGTTATATTTTTATTCTATACGTTTTTTATAGATACTTTTGTACGTTTTACGTATATTTTACTTATATTTTTGTATTTTTTAGCTCATTCATTCTACAATTTCTCGAAATATGAGAATGTAAAGGAGTAAGAACGTAAAAGGTAAGTATAAAATAGGTAAGTATATTAACATTAAGTTAGAATTAAGTAAAATGTTGAAAAAATGTTTATTTCCGGAAAAAATGGCAGATTAAAAAGGTAAGTATAAAGGTAAGTAAAAAGAAGGTAAGTATATTTCAATCCATTAAAAATATAAAAAAATTTTAAATTTCGAAAAAAATTCTTGAACTAGACAAAAATTCTCAGAATTGAAATTCTTGGAAAAATTTCTCGAACGACCTCCTTACAACTTATATTCTCCTGATACAAAGTGAAAATTTCGAGCAGCAAAAATTTTTGGTCGAAAATTCGACTTTGTATTAGGAGAACATAAGTTGACAGGAGGTCTTCCGAGTATTTCTTCCCTGAAATTCGGCAGTTCTTAGAAATGACGTCAATTTCTTGGAAATTTCCAAATGGATCCTGCCAACGAAATTTTGCCGAAAATTCGACTTTGTATTAGGAGAACATAAGTTGATAGGAGGTCGTTCGAGAAATTTTTCCCGCAATTTTGGCAGTTCTTGGAAATGACGTCAAATTCTTGGAAATTTCCAAATGCATCGGGCAAACGAAATTTTGCCGAAAATACGACTTTGTATTAGGAGAACATAAGTTGACAGGAAGTCTTCCGAGTATTTCTTCCTTGAAATTCGGCAGTTCTTAGAAATGACGTCAATTTCTTGGAAATTTCCAAATGGATCCTGCCAACGAAATTTTGCCGAAAATTCGACTTTGTATTAGGAGAACATAAGTTGATAGGAGGTCGTTCGAGAAATTTTTCCCGGAATTTTGACAGTTCTTGGAAATGACGTCAAATTCTTGGAAATTTCCAAATGGATCGTGCAAACGAAATTTTCGCCGAAAATTCGACTTTGTATTAGGAGAACATAAGTTGATAGGAGGTCGCTCGAGAATTTTTTCCCAGAATTTCGGCAGTTCTTGGAAATGACGTCAAATTCTTGGAAATTTCCAAATGGATCGTGCCAACGAAATTTTACCGAAAATACGACTTTGTATTAGGAGAACATAAGTTGATAGGAAGTCGTTCGAGAATTCTTTCCCAGAATTTCGGCAGTTCTTGAAAATGACGTCAAATTCTTGGAATTACCGAAATTCTTAAGCGAACTAAAATTTTTGCCAATTTTTCGACTTTGTATTAGGAGAACATAAGTTGATAGGAGGTCGTTCGAGAATTTTTTCCCGGAATTTCGGTAGTTCTTGGAAATGACGACAAATTCCTAGAATTTCTAAAATTCTTGGAAACCACGTCACATTCCTGGAATTATCGAAATGAATCGGGCAAACGAAATTTTGTCGAAAATACGACTTTGTATTAGGAGAACATAA